GATTAATACTTTGTGGTGCATGCATAACCCAGAATACGTGGGATTTCGTCTGACATTTTATAACGCTTCCTAAAGGAATTATTTTTTCGGATGTGTATGCTTCCTCTGATTGCGGCTTACATTTTCCCTTTCTCATCTTTTTTTTTTTTTTTTTTTTTTTTTATCCTCACCAGAGGATATTTTTCCTTTTTTTTTTTTGTACAGATAGAGTGGGAGGGAGAGAGAGGAAGGGAGAGAGAGAGAGAAACATCGATGTGAAGGGACACATCGAGTGGCTGCCACCCGCACGACCAACCAGGGCCGGGGACAAACTGCAACCGAAGTACGTGCCCTTAGCGGGAACTGAACCCGGGTCTCTCCGGACCGCAGGCCGACGCTCTAACCGCTGAGCCAAACTGGCCAGGGCTCCCTTTCTCATCTTTAAAACAATTTTTAATTTTAATTTTCAGTTACAGTTGACATGCAATAGTATTCGTTTCAGGTGCACAACAGAAGGACTAGACATTTATATAACTTACAATGTCTCCATCTATAGTTGTTACAATGTTACTGTGTTCCTCATGCTGTGCTTTACATCCCCACTCTGTTTGTTTGTTTTTCTTTATTGAGAGAGAGAGAGGAAGGGAGAGGGGGAGAGAGATAGAAACATCAATGACAGAGAACATTGATTGGCCGTCTCCTGCACGCTCCCCACTGGGGATCAGGCCCACAACCTGGGCTTGTGCCCTGACGGGGAATTGAACCAGCGACCTCTTGGTGCCTGGGCGACACTCAGCCACTGAGCCACACCACCCGGCTCCCGTGACTGTTTTGCAACTGTCTTAATCCCTTCACCTTTCCCACCCCGCACCCGCTTCCCATCTGCAACCATCGCTTTGTTTTCTGTGTCTATGAATTTGCTCCTGTTTGGTTTGTTCATTTACTTTGTTCTCTTGTTTTTTGAAAGAGGCCAAAGCACCAGCTGCCTCTTTTTTTTTTTGTGGTACGTGCCCCTAGCGGGAACTGAACCCGGGACTTCTGGTCCGCAGGCCGACGCTCAACCGCTGAGCCGAACTGGCCAGGGCCGTTTACTTTGTTCTTCAGGGCCCACATATAAGACACATCACACAGTATTCGTCCGTCTTTGTGACTTATCTCACTTAGCATAATGCCCTCTAGGTCCGTACATGTTCTCACGAATGGTAAGATTACATTCCTTTTATGGCTGAGTAATATTCCACTGTATATATGTACCCCATCTTATTGATTTTTCTTTTTTTCAGAGAGAGAGGAGGGAAGAGAGAGTTAAAACATCGGTGTGAGAGAGAAACACTGATCGGCTGCCTCCTGCACGCCCCTCACCAGGGATCAGGCCCACAACCCAGGCGTGTGCCCCGACCGGGAATCGAACCGGGACCTCTCCGTCCATGGAGGACGCCCAGTCCACTGAGCCACACCGGCCGGGCTGTCTACCCTATCTTTATCCAGTTGTCTATTGAAGAACAACTATGTTGGTTTCGTATCCTGGCTGTTGTAAATAATACTACAATGAACAAAGGGGTGTCCAATATATGTCTTTTCAAATAAGTGTTTTACATTTCTTCAGATAAACACCCACACTGAGTTATAAGGCAGTTCCAATTTAAATTTTTTGAGGAACCTCCGTCCTGTTTTCCACCGTGGCTAAACCAGCTTACATTCCCATCAACAGTGCATGAGGGTTCCCTCTTCTCCACATCCTCACCCACACTTGTGGTTTGTGAATTCATTGATGCTAGCCATTCTGACACGGATGAGGTACTATCTCATTGTTGTTTAAGTTCTCACCCAAGAATATGTTTTGATTGATTTGAGAGAGAGCGAGAGATCAATCAGTTGTCTCTTGTACGCATCCCAACCAGGGATCTAACCAGGAATCGAACCTTTTGGTACAGGGGAAGATGCTCCAACCCACTGAGCCACCCATCCAGGACCTCTTTGTGGTTTTAATTTTAATTTCCTTGATGATTCGTGACGTTGAGCATCTTTGCACCTATTGGCCATTTTCTGTCTGTCCTCTTGGGAGACATGTCTATTCAGGGCCTCTGCCCACTTTTATTTTTATTTTTTAAATAAATTTTCCTTTATTGATTTTACTTTTATTATTATTATTTTTTTATTCTCACCCGAGGGCATGTTTGCATTTATCTTCAGATAGAGCGGGAGGGGGAGAGAGAGAAACATCGACTGGTTGCCACCCACGTGACCCCTACCAGGGCGGGGGACAAACTGCAACCGAGGTACATGCCCTGACCGGGAATCAAACTGGCAACTTCTTGGTGCATGGGTTGATGCTCAACCACTGAGCTACACTGGCCAGGCCCTCTGCCCATTTTTAAATCAGATTTTTTTGGGTGTTAAATTATATGAGTTTCTTATAAATTTTGGATATTAACCCCGTATAAGATGTATCACTGGTAAATGTCTTCCCCTATTCAGTAGGTTGTCTTTTTGTTCTGTTGATGGTTCTTTTCCTGTGCAAAACATTTTATTAGAGGTAGTCCCATTGTTTGTTTTGTCTTGTTTCCCTCGCCCCAGGAGACGTGCCCAGACAAATATTGCTAACTGTTGAGGAGTTTACTGCCTGTGTTTTATTCTGGGAATTTTATGGCTTCAGGTCTTACGTAGAAGTCTTTAATCCATTTTGAGTTTATTCCTGTATACGGTGTACGAAAGTGGTCTAGTTTAATTTTTTTTAAATCCTCACCCAAAGATATAGTCTTACTGATTTCAGAGAGAGAGGGAGAGGGGGGAGAGAAACATTGACCATGCGTGTCCTGACTGGCCATCAAACACGGAACTCCGGGTATGTGCCCTGACTGGGAATTGAACCCACCACCTTTTTTTTTTTCTGTTGTTACTCCTCACCCAGGGATATTTTTTCATTGATGTGTTTTAGATAGAATGGAAGGGAGGGAGGGAGAAACATCAATGTGAGGGAGACACATGGATTGGCTGTCTCCTGCAGGGCTCCAGCCAGGGCTGGGGATCGAACCTGTAAACTAGGTACATGCCCTTGACCGGGAATCAAACCTGCAGTCCTTTGGTCCACAGGCCGACGCTCTAACCGCTAGGCCAGACTGGCCAGGGTGAACCTGTCACTGTTTGGCGCATGAGACGACACTTCAACTCAGCCACACTGGCCAGAGCTAGTTTCCGTTTCTTTTTTTTGCATGTGTCTGTCCAGTTTTCCCGACACCATTTATTGAAGTCTGATCCCCCCCTCCCCCTCCGTGTGTAGCCTTAAGTCCAGAGCTCGCTCTGTTCTGGTTACACATCTGTAAGTGGTTACAGTTCCGTCTGACGTGGGTACCTAGGGAAGAGTGGGCAGCCTCTGGTGTCTTCGGAGTAGGTAGGCGGCAGGTTCGCTGGGTGCTCTGCACCGTGGGCCCTTGTCCTCGGTGGACCGGCAGGACCATGGTGAAGCCACATGTCACAGGTGACAGTGTCTATGAATGTCTAGCCACTCTAGCCCTGGCCCAGGGGGAATGACTCTTCCCTGTTCCAGCAGGACCATCTCTAGAATCTTCTTGGGGCCAGACTGGGGTACCGTCTGGTTCCTTCGCCCAAATCCCTCCTGCTGCTCTTGGGTCCTACCCACCTCACAACCCCAATGCGGTCTGACCGAGGATACGATCTGGGTGAATCTCAGGAGGGTTTGTGCTGTTCCCACTGGACGTGAATAGCCACAGCCTAAGCCCTGGAACCTGTGACACCTCACATGGCCAAAGGGACAGTGCAGAGGTACGTCAAGGATGGTGACGGAGATGGGGAGATTGTCTGAGCGACCCGAAGTGATGAAAGGGGGCCTTCTGAACGGGAGGCAGGAGGGTCAGGGTTGGACACGTGAGGATGGAGGCAGAGGTGACGGGGAGGAGGGACATGAACGTGGCGAGATGCCATCTGAAGACAGAACGAGCCCCGGCCAAGAAACCCAGGCAGGCTCCAGGAGGAGGCGGATTCCACCTAACGCCTCCAGGAGGGCAACCTGGCGGGAACAGCGTTGTAGGACTTCTGACCGTCAGAACTGTATGATCATAAATCCTGCCACGCCTGTGGGACTCGGTCCCAGCAGCTGCAGGCGGGCCCACAGAACCAGACGGAGCGCCGGCTCCTCGCCCACGACCGAGCCAGCCTGAAACGGGAGCGGACCCCGGGAACAGCTGGCCCTCAGCAGCATCCTCCAGCCTCTTCGGTGCCCTCCTGACCTCGAACTTCCAGCTTCCTGAGCAAAGGTCAAACCAACTGATACCCCCGCGCAACCTGGTTATAGGGCAGTCCCCACCCGGGTGCCAAGTGCCCCTCACTTCCAAGGAGGACGGAGTAGGACTGGTACCCCAGTTGTTTTCACATGAAGGGGACTTCAGTACGTGGCCAAATGTTCTTTGCTGGCAGGTGTGAAGGTCACATGACTCCACAGGTACAGGGTGTTGAGGAGGATGTCCAACCCCCCTCCCCCGCCCACTTCAGGGCCCAACACAGAAGCTCAAAGAGAAAGGATGGGAAGGGGACACTGGTCTTGGGGGTGGAAGGTGGGGTCCATGTGGCCACTGCCGCTGCAAGTCAGGAAGGTCATCAGGAGCAGGGACAGTGTCCAGGGCCACCTACACGTACAGGACTCTCTGGCCATCGCTGAGGCCCATCTCTGTCCTTCCAAGAGAGCCAGGCAGAGGACCAGTCAGAACTAAAAAAAATATTTCATTTCATTCTGAATAAAAAACAGAACAGACAGAACTCTTGGAAATCCTGAAAACAATGTCATCGCTACAGCAAAATTTCACAGAAATCATCGCACAGAGTGTGGGGACAGTGGAGCCACACCTGCTGTCCAGGCTGCCTCTCGTGGGAGGACACGGTGGGCAGCAGCCTCAGTGGGCCAGGGAGGGGCAGGCACGGCTGGGGCCATGCCCTAAGGGGACCCCCCCCGGCCCCAGAATCCAGGCTCAGGACTGCAGCAGCAGCTGGGTGGGGTGTCCTCATCATCAAGATCCCTCTACCCGGGAGCCCTTCCGGCCCCGACTGCGTGTGGCCCACATGCCCCGCCGGGAGTGGTAGTGGTGGTAGAAGTTCCTCAGGCGCAGCCGCTCCACCTCCAGCCCCGCCTGCAGGACCCTGGGTGGAGACGGGTGTCAGGGCTGGGAGGATGGGGGGCAGGGCTGTCCCGAGCCTGCAGGACCCTGGGTGGAGATGGGTGTGAGGGCTGGGAGGATGGGGGGCAGGGCTGTCCCGAGCCTGCAGGACTCTGGGTGGAGACGGGTGTCAGGGCTGGGAGAATGGGGTGCAGGGCTGTCCCGAGCCTGCAGGACCCTGGGTGGAGAGGGGTGTCAGGGCTGGGAGGATGGGGGGCAGGGCTGTCCCGAGCCTGCAGGACCCTGGGTGGAGACGGGTGTCAGGGCTGGGAGGATGGGGGGGCAGGGCTGTCCCGAGCCTGCAGGACTCTGGGTGGAGATGGGTGTCAGGGCTGGGAGGATGGGGGGCAGGGCTGTCCCGAGCCTGCAGGACTCTGGGTGGAGATGGGTGTCAGGGCTGGGAGGATGGGGGGCAGGGCTGTCCCGAGCCTGCAGGACCCTGGGTGAGGGTGGCATGGGAGTGGTCAGGACCGCAGCCCAGGAGCTAGGGGTGGCAGGGTTTCATTCCTGCAGGGCCCCAGTGGAGGACGGGGACTCGGGGCCACCACTGGGCCTATAGATCTGGGGGCAGAGCTGGTTCAGTGGGTACCCCTGGTCTGCAGGACCCTGGGTGGGGAATGGTTTCAGGGAATGAGGTCTCTCTGGGCCTACAGGTGCTGGGTGATGGAGGAAGACGGGGAAGTCTGCCTCCATGATGGTGGAGGGGTCACCTGTCCAGGAGCTCCCAGTCTTCGCCACCCCACTGGTCCCGGAACTCCTCAGTGTTCATGCCTCCAACACGGTCAAAGTCCGACTTGTAGATCCCAAAGAGGCCAAAGCCGTTCACCTCCCAGTACCCTGGCAGCGAAGGATGCCCTTCAGGTCCTGTGAGGCTTCCTCCAGACCTCGGGGGGGGGGGGGGGGGGTTCTGGGGTGGGTCCCATTATCAGGGGCCTCCCAGGGTTACCCTTCCATGTTGGTCATAACCGAGGAACCCTGCACATGATTGGAGGAGGCTCCTCACGACTGGGCATGACCTACAGAACCTGGGGCAGAACCTGGGCACTAGGGGGGTGGGGTTCTAGACACTACAGGGCATTATAGGGGCACTGATGGGACCCCAGGCCAGCCTTGGGGGTTGGGAGAGGTCCCCAGATTTTACCCTGGCGTGGGTGGGACTCCTGGCATTACCCTGTGGGTCCCCGGGAGAGCTCCCGCAGCCCAGGCGCATGACCACGGGCGCAAAGGCCAGCGTGCCCTCCACGCAGTGCTTGCGGATGCTGTCCAGAATGCTGGGGGGGAAGTGGATGTGCAGGTCACAGAGGAAGACGATGCTGCTGGCGTCCTGGAGGTCGCAGGGAGGTCTGAGCGCCTCTCCCCTGGAAAGGCAGCTCTCCCCTTGCCCCCCACCCCCCCCACGCACCTCCACCGCATCCACTCCAGCTTGCAGCCCTGCCGAGCGCTCAAAGTTCCCGGTTCGCCTCAGGTACTGGTACCTGTGGGGGTGGTGAGTGACAGGTAACGATTCCTGGGGGCAGAAAAACCCACCTCCCCAGGAGGGCAGGTACTCTGGGTGCCCCTGGTGTGGGGGCATGGGGCGCCATTACCGGGGCAGCTGCGCCGTGCGCAGGGCCCGCTCCACGTCCATGTCCTCGCTCTCAAAGTCCACCAGGATGACGCTGAAGTGCGGGTCCCCGGTGCGCGCGTGCAGTGCGGCCATGTCCGCCAGGAACTGCGCCACCCAGCGTGCCTGATTCTTCACTGGAGGAGGATGGGGCCGCTGAGTCCAGCCCGACCCCACTGCGCCGTACCCCATCCGGGCCAGAGGCGCCCCCCCTTTCCCACGAGGCCTCCGCGAGCGGACCCCTGAGACCAGGCGCTGCCCGGCAACACGCCCGCACCTGGCACGATGAAGTGAACCATCACGTCCTGGCGCCAGGCCAGGCGCAGCGGCCGGCAGAGCTCGGGGCGGCCTTCAGGCCGCGCAGAGGTGGTGGCAGCGGGCTCTGGACTCTCTCCGTCCCAGTACGCGTCCCCGGCACGCGTCCCGGGCAGTCGCAGGAAGACGTACTCAGACAGGCGCAGGCGGCCGCCCCCGCGCTCCTGCAGCTCCAGCTCCAGGAGGAAGCGGCTCCCACGCGCCGAGTCCCGGCGCTTCTCCACGTTCACAATTCGCAGGAGAGCGTAGCGCCTGGGAGGCAAGCTGGGTCAGCCTCCGCAGGGCTTCTTCCCGCGCTGCGCCCCAGCCTCCGCCCCTGGGGCCTTCCCAGCCGGCCGGCCCACACTTCGCGCCTCTCCCAGGGCAGCCCATGGGGGCAGGTGCCCCCCCAGCTCGGGGTCCTCTCTCCCTCTCGGGCTTTTCACAGCGGTCTTTTTGACACGCTCAGACCCCCTCAGCGGTGCCACTGCACACAGGATGAGGTTCCAGTGTCTCAAAGTGGCCTTCCAGGACCGCAAGCAGTTCTAGCTGGAGGCCTGCAGTATCCCCCACACTGTCCGAGCAGACTTCCTCTTCCCGGGGTCTTTGTCCTGGGGTCTCTCTCTGGGAACTTGCCACCATCCTCCACCTACTTCGAGGCCGTGGGCGACTTCTCTGAGCCGCCTCCTCCAGCCTCCCCGGCACTAGCTCAGGAGCTGTCCTGGTCCCTGAGGGAAGAAGCCACTGGGCCTGCCCTGAGCTGCCCTCTGGCCCCTTCCTCCTCCCTGCCGAGCACCTTACTTTCCCTATTCTCTGTCCTCAAGCGGAGGCTCCTCATTCTGGGAAAACAGGACCCTTAACCTTGACTAAGGCCTCGAGTCTGCCCTTTGCAGGCGGTGCCCCCTACTGGGAGCTTGTGGGATTTCCCAGGGAACCAGACTCCTTCAACCCTGCCACCCACCATTCTCCCTAAACGCCAGGGACTTCCTGCCTCAAACTCTCTGGTTCTGTCTGCACCTTGTTCTTGGGGCCACAGCCACGGCCACTCTACTGAGCAGACCCCTTGGGCCCATGGGATGCCACTGCTCTGTCTTAGAGCCAAGGGCAGGCTTATCCCCTCAGCCACCTAGAATCCACTCTGTCCCACCTCCAGAGTCCAGGCCGTCCCATCACCCATGGCTATGTCCTGGTCACAAGCCCACCAGTCACAGTCCCCATGGGCTCCCCAAACAGGTCAAACACCTGTCCTACTCAAACCTTTCCATCACAGGCCAGAAAATGAGTCCTGAGTGAGGCTCTCAGGACCCACGACCAGGTTCTGCCCTCCCGCAAGGTTTGGCACAAACTGGGAACTCCTCACTGCCTCCGCCGAGGTCAGATCGGCGCCCTGGGGCCCGGGTCAGGCCACAGAGGGCAGGAGGCAGGAGGCAGGTGGAGACCCTCGTGGAAGAGGAGAGGAGGGTCTAAGGGGCTCTTAGTTGGACCTTCAGGTATGTCTGTCTGGAGGAGAGGCCTGGGGGCTCAGAGGCATTTCAGATCCAGGTCCCAGGCTGTGGTTTGGGGGTGCAGGACAGAGGAGCCAGCCCCGGCAGGGGCTGGGGAGTGGGGGGGGTGGTGGTGTCAGGAACCGAACACTGAACAGGGGCTCTGGATAATAAGGGGCCCAGAAAGGAGAGGAGACACTTCCCTGGGGTGGGGTGCATGCCATGTTCGGATGAGCTCTGGGGCAGGGTCTCCACTTCCCCACCCCGCCCCCATACCCGCTGTGGCGCGCGTTGAGCCGCTCCATGTACTGGGCCACCACGTCCACGGCCTCGGCCTCGGGCAGCTGCAGGTTCCCAGACACATTGCAGCGCAGGTCATTCCAGTCGGAGCGCAGCAGCTCGAAGTCCACCGCGCCCACGCTGAACGTGCGCTGCCAGTCGATGGCATCCTCGCGCCAGCGGCCGCGCGCGGGCCTGGCTGCCTCCTCGCTGTCCTCTGAGGCAGCCTCCTCTGCAGGGGCCCCATCACTGTCCCCTTCCTCCTCCTCCTCCTCCACCCCCCGCAGCTGTGGCCTGGACACCTGGGACAAGCTCAGGAAGGAGGTCACAGGCCGGGTTTCGGATGGCATGTTCAAGTTCTCAGTGGGTGCTGCAAGTTCCAGCGGCCGTGCCTGGCCCTCCCGGCTCCCCTGCGTGGCCTGGGCCTGGGCGGGGGGCCTCAGCTCTGTGGCCCGGGAGCCGCTTGTCCTATGGCCTCGAGACTGGGGTGGGCGTGGGGGTGCCCGCAGCTGCACCCTGGGCAGAGGTCTGGGGCGCAAGAAGACACCGGGGAAAGGTGGCCAGGGCGGGCCACCTGGGCTCAATGGTGCCAGGGCCCGAGGGGGCACCTGCAGACCTGGCCGCACCCGAGTCACGTAGACCTTTGGGGGCGGCTGCACTACTGCAGCACGTGGGGGCGGGGCGCGGCCCAAGAGGAGGGGTAGGGGATGCACCGCCCCCCGGGCAGCCCAGCTCAGAGCCCGGGAGCGCAAGGGGGTCCGCTGGTGTTCCAGGCTTGGGGGCGTGGGCTGGGTGGGGGTGGCTCTGGCTTCGGTGGGGGCTGCTGGGGTGGGGAGTCGGCGGCTGCTCTGCGCTGGGGCCACCTCAGTGGGCTCCAGACTGTCGAGCAGCTCCCCCTCATCCTCGTCATCCAGGAAGTCTGTAGAAAGCTCCAGTAAGCCCGATACACCCAGGGGCCGGCTGGGGGCGCTCAGCAGAGGCACTCACCATCAGGGTTGAGGAAGAGGAAGGCCCGGCGCTGCACCTGCTCATCTTCCTCCCCCTCCTCCTCCTGGTCCATCTTCATGTACTTATAGAACCCGAACCTGGGAGGGCGGGGCACCAGAGACCCGCTGGAAGAGGCCCCGCCCACCGCCCTGGGGCACGCCCCCACGCACCTGTCCATCTTCATGTACTTATAGAGCCTGAACCTGAGAGGGCGGGGCACCAGAGACCCGCTGGAAGAGGTCCCGCCCACCGCCCTGGGGCACGCCCCCATGCACCTGTCCATCTTCATGTACTTATAGAACCCGAACCTGAGAGGGCGGGGCACCAGAGACCCGCTGGAAGAGGCCCCGCCCACCGCCCTGGGGCACGCCCCCACGCACCTTTCCAGGTACAGTGGGGACTCCCGGTAGAAGCACTTGTTGTCCGTCTCCATGTGAGTGAGGCGCGTGTGGTCATTAGGATACACGAAGGACAGGTACACCTAGGGGGCGCAGAGGGCTCAGGGCAGAGCTGGGGGGCTCGGGTCTCAGGGGCAGTCTTGGTGAGCGGCACTTACAAACTGTAGTCCCTGGTATCTCGCGATAGGAAAGTCCTTGACCACATAGGTGGGGGCGTAAGCGCAGGGCTCCAGCACGTTTTCCAGACTCGAAGGCTCCACTCGAGGCGCTGCGGGAGGGGCGGTCACAGCGCCAGCCCAGAGCTCCCCAACTCCCCCCCCCCACCCTCCGTCCCCAGGGACTCCTCTCACTGAGGAAGAAGGTGTCTCGGGGATCTGGCCTCAGCATGTCGGCTCTGGGCTCCTCCTGAGGCAGGCGCCCCCCCACGTGGCTGGCCGGGGACTGTGGGACATGGGCCACGTGGTCCATCTTCAGGGCTGACTCATCTGGGGGTGGAGGGATGTGTGGGGCCCCCAGAACTCCCCTCACCCCTCTCCTCCCACATCTAGAGGCCACTCCAAAGAGACCACCCATCAAGAGCTCCCCCCCGCCCCCAGGTACCACCTTCGCACCTGTGTACAGGGACACGTGAGCAGAACCTATGACCTCAAACTTCAGGCCAGGCAGGAAGGCTCTCCACTGGGGGGTGGAGAGAGTGATCAGGGCCAAAGGGGGGGGGGGCATGGCTGGGACAGGGAGGAGTGGTATTCCCTAACAGGACAGTGGGGCAGTGGGGAACTCATGCAGGAGGCTCTGAGGGTGGGTCCTCGGAGGGGGCAGCAGGGAAGCTGGGGGTGGCCTAAAGGCTGGAGGCTCTGGTAGCAGGTAAGGGCACCTCATGCCCCATTCAGACCCTTCCTGACACCCTCACCTGCCTCCCCGCCTGGACCCACTCCCATTCCCCCTACTCCTGCAGCTGCTCCCCAGTCTCCTTTGTAGACTGTCCCTCACCCACCCTCTCAAGTTGGGGTTCCTGGGGACTGTACCAGGCTCTTTTCCCTTCCCAGTTCATCCTGGGCCCTGTCAACTATCCCCTGCAGCTTCTGCAAGACCACCCCAAACTCGTGTCTCAGCTGAGCTTGGGTGACACCCACCACACAGCGGACACCTGTGACATCCCGGAGCTGGGGAGGAGCCCCTAGTCCACCAAGGTCACCAGCCCACACTCGGCCAGGCTCAGTCCTTGGTCCTGCCATCCTCCACTCCCACCTCCGCGACCCGGGACCAATGGTCCACACGAGTCCCTCCTGGTTCCCTCCACACGTAGCCTTAAGTGTAAATCCAATCGCCTCATTCACAGAAGTCTGAGCAGCCCAGGTCCAGATAGCTCCAGGTAGCCCCTGATGCACCCCCCACCTCAGATCCTCTCCCCCTGGGTCTCCCTGTGGTCTCATCTCTCAAGAGGACTCAAAGGCCACTTCCTCCAGGAAGCCCTCCCAGCAGTGCTGACAGTCACAGAACCTAAGCAGACGTCACGTCAACCAGACAGGAAGCTCCTGGGGTCCATAGTCACCTTTCCTTTTGTGGGGAGCAGTGGATGGAAGGGGGAGGCAGGGCGAGGAGGTTAGGGGTCACACTCACGCCCACTTCCACGTGGTCCGAGCCTTGGTCATCCTGCTTGTGCAGCAGCTCGAAGTAGTACCTCCGGGAGGCCATGAGCCTGGAGACACGAGGTATCAGGAGGACGCGCTCTGCCCCGCCTCAAAACCCCAGACGGTGGAGAGCGCAGAGGAGGTGGGGCTCAGGGACTGTCCCTGGGGATGGCAGTGTGGCCCGGACGCAGCACGATGTCACCCAGGCCCTCGCACACGTGTGCACATGCATGCAATGTACTCCCAGTCACTCACCGCCTGGGCTTGGACACCTGGGAGCTGAACTTGGTGAACTCTCCAGGCGCTGTCCACTCCGAGCCAGTCTGGGGGGGAACATGGGGGTGGAGGGGGCTCACCCTCTCCTTGGGAGCACCAGCCCCATCCCATCCTGTCCTAAGAAGCTGGAGGAGACAGGGGACTGAGGCCACAGGAAGCCCATTGAAAGAAGGGTGTGAACCGAGGGCGGAGCTGGGTCAGGGCTGCGGAGTGGGGGTACCTTGCCCACAAAGGCCACCAGCTGGGCACCTGCCGGGCTCTCATTTGGGCTCAGCCAGAACTCAGAGTTGTCATCCGAAGCCACGGAGAACTGGATGTCTCCTAGGCCACAGGACAAGGGCTCAGGAGGCGGTGGCCCTTCAGGATGCCCCTCCCCCTCACAGCCCACCCCCTCGTGTCCCCTCCCCCGCACCATCTTTCGCTGGGTGGATGAAGCCGAAGATCCGCAGCCCGTAGTTCTTCCACTTGGGGGACACAGCCAACTTCTTCACGGTGGTGCGGGTCTGGGGACAGTGACCTCTGACATCGATGCCCATCCAACCCACCCCCACCCCCCCTGGAAGGCCCGCTGTACCCTGGCCCCAGCACTCACGTGCGGGAACAGCGGGAAGTGTAGGTTCCTCCTCAGGTGGCCCACGGCGCCCCCACACCAGTCCTCGAACACGTGCAGGTTCACCTGCCCCTTGTACTGGGGGAGAGGGGTCTTACTTTCCGCACACGCCCCCCACCTTCCCCCAAGCCACTGCAGGCTGCCGAGCTCACCTCCTCCCGCCATGGGGGTGCCTGATGGGTGAGGTTCAGGGGGAGCGGCCTTCCAGCGCCCCCAGGAAACAGCATGTTCAGGTCCTGACCGCTGGGCTTCAGGAGAGAAAGGGCACCAGGGTCAGAGCTGAGAAGGGCGGGGAGGGGTCCTCACAACCACACATCACACTTGGCACGGTCCAGGACACAGCTCCAGACAGGCAGCACCACACAGGAGCAGGGCGCGCCCAGGCTGCCCACGGCCCTCCGCGCACACAGCCCGCCCGCTCCCGCCGCCTCGGGGCCCTGTGTGCAGAACAGTCTCCTGGGCCCTGCTCACCGCCTGCTCCTCCTCACGGCTCTCGCTGGAGTCCTCCGCCCTCTGCGTGGACAGTGCAGCCCGGACACCCCTGCCGTCTGTCACACTGGTCAGCTTCTCACCGTCTATGGGTGACACATGGGTGTGACCAGGGCCCAGGCTTTCTCCAAAGCCACAGCCCCTGCTGCTGGGGTCAGGCACCCCCACCCCACATGGCTGGGCCAGGGCAGGAAGGCCAGTGTCTCCTGCTGAGGTCCCTTATGCTCCAGCTGCCCCACCCACCCACGGGACAAGTGCTGGCTCCTTCTCCCACATCCCACTGCAGGGCGGGGGGCTCTGGAGCCCCCTACCTGGTGCTTCCCGGCTCCCTGGCTGGTGTGAGGGAGCAGTTATGTGTGTGCACACAAACACCCACCTGGCCATCCTCATCAGGGGCTCTGCCTCCAGGAAGACCCCCAGGACTGCTCTGTGCCCTTAGTACTTTTCCCTGGGTGTTAGAGTGTTTTGTGTCTGCCCCTCTTTCCAGAAGGGAGAGCTAAGGGTTGATTAGTGCTGGAGCTTGTTATCTTGAGGCTAAGCTGCCCTTGAGGCTGGGGTCTGGGACCAAAGGAGCCCTGACACCAGCCTGGCAGAGGAGGGATAGGCACACTGGTCTGGCTGCTGGAGGGTCTGAGGACACAGCGGCCCTGGAGGGAGACTGTACCTTCCCAGTCTGTCTGTGGACGTCTCCAGAGCTTGGCTACCCCAAACCCCTCAGCTCTCCAAACTCCCTGAACTCCCAGACCTTCTTCCTGAGCAGCCCCCCAGCCAGCCCTGGTGGGGTCCAAACCTTGGATCATTGCACCCCCTGACCTCCCTGGAGTCCCCTCCCATGTACACCCAAACCAGGAGCCCCCCTTTTTGCTCCAGGGCCAAGCTGGGGCTGTGACGTCCATGCCCATCCCTCAATCCAGACCCCAGGAGCTGGATTCCTGTGTGAACACAATAGCCCTAGGCCCCGTCTCTGGGGGAGGGGGGCTGCCCGTGGGCTCCTACCTGAGAGCCCTGCGGTACCTGTCCACCTGCTCCTCATTCCAGTTCTCACCCCTGTCTGTCCTCTGTCCAGCTGAGAGGGGAGCCCTGAGGGCCTCCCAGCCAAATCCTCCCATCCGGGCCCTGGGGCTCACTTCCACCGAGCTGTCCATGGGCCACGGAGCCTTCTGCTGTAGGGTCCTAGCCCAGCAAGGTCCAGACAGGCTCCCTGCTCCCAGCTTACTGTCTCTTGGGGACCTCTGCCTGCACAGGCTGGACACCAGGAAGGTGGGCCTCCTGCCCCCTCCACGGCTGCTTCCCCAGGGGATGTGAAGACCACACCGACCCACAGTCAGGATGGCCTCGGCACCTCCAGCTGCTGCCCTGGGGGGGCCAGGCGGCTGGACAGGAGGTGGGGCGACAGATGAGGCTGCTCCTGGAAGGTGCCACATGAGGCTTCGTCTTCCAGGACCCTGAACAGCTTCTTACCACCAGGCTTCAGTGCTCTCAGAAGTGGGGTTCCCACACCTTCACCCCTCCAGTTTGCTGAGCTAGACTCCCTGGCTGCTCAGGAAGTCAGGTTCAGGAGGACTGTGGTGTCTCAGAAAACCACACAAGCAGCTTAAGAGGGGTTGGTTTTGCTGAGTGGCTGGGTCACACTGGCGTCCTGCCTCATCCTCTAACCGGGTGGTGGTGTTCTTTTGGGGACTGAGCAGTGCGGAGGCCTCTTGAGGTTATAGTGGCTGAGAGGTGTGTGGACTGGGGGTGGGGACAAGCCCAGAATCCTGGCCTGGGGTCTGGGGGGCCAGGTGTCAGGTACACCATGTGGAGGCAGAGGGGCTCAGCAAGTGGGGGCTGGAATGAGGTTTGGGCCCCTCCGTGGATTAGGTGAGTCAAAGTCATTGTTCTGTCTTGTTCCCACGCTCCCCTCATCCTAAGGACACCTCACTTTCTTGAGAAGAGTCAGGGCAAGCTTGGCTGGGATGTTCCCTGCCCTGAGGTGTTCTCCTCCAACCTCCTCCTCCTGCTCCAGGCACTCTGTGTCCCCCCCCCCCCTCCAGGTTTCATGCTGCTCCTGCTGTTGGGATGCTCGTCCCCACATGTTGTGTCAAAGGTCACCTCCTCCAAGAGGCCTTCCAGAATTCCCCTAGCCAAAGGGACAGGACCCTCCAGGGACTCCAGTGCACTCACCAGGACCTTTTTGCTTCCTGGGTTCATGGTCTGTTCTCACTGGGGTGTGAGCTCCAGGGGCCTGGGAGACTCCACTCCAGGCTGGGTCCCCATCGCCATGTCTCCCTCCAATACACAGTCCCGGCCACAGGCTCACCCAGAGCCCCTGCCAACTCGGGTCGGCTCGCCCGACCTGCCCCGGGACAGGGAGGCTGGTCCTTTGCCCCTCCTCCTCCCAGCAGATGGGGAAACCGAGGCTCTGCAAAGTACACAGGGTGGAGGCAGCAGCTTCTGGAAACCCCAGCGCACAAGCCTGAGGGGGGTCCCTCCAGGTGCCCCCGTGAACCCTGTCACGACTGGCTCCGGGCCAGAGCCGGAGTCCGCCTAGGTTCAGGGACGCTCCCTAAGAGGGTCGCGCTCCTCACTGATGACGTCATCGTCGTCCGGACCGGGTCGAACCGCGCCCCCTGACCCAATACTGCCGTCTGGAAAGGGCGGACGGGGTCTGCGGGAGGGTCTGGCCCACGCCGAGAGCCAGGCGCGGTGGGGGGAGGGCCCGGACCGGCGCTGCTCGGGGCCCACCCCGCCCCCCGCCCCTGGGCGCGCGCCCCCTCCCGTACCTCGCCCGTAGCCCAGCCGCTGGCGCAGCGCGCGGCCCTGGCGCACCAGGCTCAGGTGCACGTACGTGAGCCACGCGGCGCAGGTGAGCAGCACCAGAAGGAGCAGCAGCTTGATCTGCTTGCGGATCTTCTTCACCGGGAACCACGGCATCGCGGCCGGCCCCGCCCCGGGCCGCGCTCAGCGGCGCCGCTGCGGTCCCCAGCTCCCGCGCGCCCCGCGCCGCATCCTCCAGTCCCGCATGGCCCTTTGTCCACCGCCCGCAGCCACGGGCTGCGGCCGCGACCCCAGGCTGCCCTTGGCCGCGGGCCCGGGGTGGGCGGCGGAGCGGCTCCGGCGGTGCCCCGGCCTGGCCTCGCCCGGCCGCTCAGGCTCCACGCTCCCGGGGCCGCGGCGGGACGGGACAGCATCCACGCTGCGGTGCTACCCACCGTGAAACGGGCCCGGCCTGCGCGCGGCGCGAGCCAATCGGGGCCCGCCAGCCCGCGGGAAGCCAATCCGCGGCGCGGGAGGCGGGCCGGCGTGCTAGGGTGTGCCCGGCGATTGTCTCCACGCAACGCGCGCGCATCCACCTGGGCGCGCCGGCACGCGCAGCGCGGGGGCGCGGGGATCCCGGGTACCCAGGGAGGGGGCCGCGGGACAAGGGGCTGGAGGGTTTGAGGAGGTGTGGCGGACCGAGGACGCGGGGACGGGGGGATGCGGAGGGCGGCAGACGCCGGATAGGGGCGGGGGTTATGGGAGGTTCAGAGGGCCGGAGTTTGGGGGTGGGTGGGGGATGGGACAGAGATGCACGGGGGCGAGGGGAAGGTGCAGAGAACACAGGGAAACGGGTCAGGTGCACTAGGGACAGGGTGATGGGGAGCACCGGGCACGTAGGGACAAAGGAGACACAGGACCGGGGCTCCCGTTGCTCTGAGGATAGAGTGGAGAGAGGACAGGCCCTGGGTAGAGGGATGAGGAGGTGCAAAGAAGTGGAGGTGCAGAGGACTGGGAGACTGGGGCGCGGGGCAGGGACACAGAGCCGGGCACCAGGGTGTGTAGGGATAGAGTGCTTGGGAGGTGCAGGCTATGGGTGGGGGCGACAGTGGGGACATGGGGAACAGGGTGATGGGAGGACAAGGAGGGGGTTGGTGAATGTGGGAGGAAGGCGGGAGATAGGGGGCAGCTTGGTGTTGGAGCAAGCCCCTTGCGAACTGCCCACCAGGAGCAGTGGGTCTGAAGGTGGAGGGAGAGAGGAAGCCTGCCTACAAACACATGTGGGCGGGGTGATGACTGTGGGTGAGGGGGCTGGGGCTGCAGGGCCAACCAGCTGGGTGGAGGTGAGGCTGAGGAGGATCTCAAAGCACATGGCTTCACCAAAGGATCTTAGCTGGGGCCAGGGGCCAGGTGGACAGGGGCAGTGGAGGGGAGATAGAGAGGAGCAGCCCAGGCAGGAGGGGCAGGACCCCTGGGAGGGGGCAGCAGGTGGGCACAAGCTGGCTCTTCCACTCCTAACTTGAGGGGTCGGGTCCTCGGTGTGGCTCTTGCCCAGCTGGTGGAGTGTGGGTGGGTGGATGGCCCCGCTTGACTCCGGTCCTGTGGATCTGTCTCCTTCAGTCCTGCCTCTGCCCAGCCCCAGCCAGACTCTCCTCGCCTGTCCTCTCTGTGTTCCTGTCTTCCCTTGCTATGTAACACGCCACCTGACATTTGTGGTATAAAGCAACTCTTTGTGACATCTGTGGGTGAGGAACTTAGGGCCCAACACGACAACTTTCCTTTGCTCCATGGTGTCATGCACTCCAGGTGGGAAGATATGCATGGCTGGGGTGACTCTGGTGGCTGGGCTGGGTCACCTGGGGAGTTGGGCACTTGGGGCGATGGCTGAGCTCAGCCAAGAGGGTTCAGCAGAGCACCTGGGTGTGGTCACTCCAGGGTGGTGGGCTCTGGGCTCCAACAAACCTGGCAAAGTGAGTTGCTGAATACCATTTTGCCACATGCTGTCACAGGTCTCCCAGGTATGAGGAGGGGACACAGGGCCCATGTCACCCTGGGAAGACTGAGAAGTTGCAGTTCTAACCTCGAGGCAGAGAATGGAGTTGGTCTCATGCTTCTGTGTTGTTCTGTCGTCTTTTCTTCAAACATTGCATCTTTTTGTTTTCCTTTATTGATTTTAGTGAGAGAGGAAGGGAGAGACAGAAACATCAGTGAGAGAGAACACTGATTGGCTGCCTCCTGCATGCCCCCCACTGGGCACTGGGCCCACAACCTGGGCATGTGCCCTGACCAGGAACCGAACCGCTGACCTCTTGGTGCCTGGGTCCACGTGCAACCACTGAGCCACACCAGCCGGCAGACATTACATCTTTCAAATCTTCCTTCCTGTCACCTCCCATTTTCATTCCTCACCTTCTGCAATTCATTTTTTTTTTTTTTTATCCTCACCCGAGGATATTTTTCCATTTTTTGTACAGATACAGTGGGAGGAAGAGAGAGGAAGGGAGAGAGAGTGAGAAACATCGACGTGAAAGGGACACATCGAGTGGCTGCCACCCGCATGACCAACCAGGGCCGGGGACAAACTGCAACCGAAGTACATGCCCTTAGCGGGAACCGAACCCGGGTCTCTCCGGACCACAGGCTGACGCTCTAACCGCTGAACCAAACTGGCCAGGGCTGCAATTCATTTTTTAAAAAAATAATGCTATGTGTGCCTTTGTTACAGTACATATCAAATTGTATCTCTTTTGATGTCACCTGAAGAGTATTGTGCTATAAATCTCACTGTTTCCCACACTGTCTCCAAACACATGCATGGCCCTGCGTGCACCTGAGGCTCCCCTCGGGTCCTGGTGCTCACGCCTCAGCCGGGAGGTACGCACCTAGGACCTCCACAGCCGAGGCTGAAGGGCACAGGAATGAACAAGACAGGTAAGGTCTCTCCTTTCGTGGAGTTTATATTTTTCAAAGCAGAGACAAAGTCGTGCACCAATAACAGTTTCAGATCGTGGTAAGTGCTACGAAGGAACTACCACGGGGCAGTGAAGTGGATGGGTTGGAGGAGAGGTGATCACTCTTCGGTGGAGTGACAGATGGCCTGAGAAGTAAAAAGATCTTAGCAGGCGCTGGAAAGTGGGTCCACATCAGGGCCTTTGTCAGCCTAGAAACCAGCAGGTGGGGTGGCGGGCAGGAGACACCTATGTTCCATCTGGGGCCACACCAGGCACAGCCACCCCCCAGGCAGTAATGGCCACCCCTCCTCACTGCTGCCTTCTCAGCTTCGCCCACGTTCCAGCTCCAACAAGCTGATGAGACCCACCTGGCAGGTATCCTTGACAACCTGGCATGCACACACACTTTATTTTATTTATTTTATTTTTTATTATTTTATCCTCACCCGAGGACATTTCCATTTTTTGTTCAGATAGAGCAGGAGGGAGAGAGAGGAAGAGAGAGAGCGAGAAACATCAACGTGAAAGGGACACATTGAGTGGCTGCCACCTGCACAACCAACCAGAGTCGGGGACAAACTGCAACCGAGGTACATGCCCTTAGCGGGAACCGAACCCGGGTCTCTCCGGACCGCAGGCCGACGCTCTAACCGCTGAGCCAAACTGGCCAGGGTGACACACCTTATTTTAAACCATGTTTAACTTCCAAATAAAAACAAGGGCAGCCCTAGCCAGTTTGGCTCAGCGGTTAGAGCGTCGGCCTGCGGTCCGGAGAGACCCGGGTTCGGTTCCCGCTAAGGGCATGTACCTCGGTTGCAGTTTGTCCCCGACTCTGGTTGGTTGTGCAGGTGGCAGCCACTCAATGTGTCCCTTTCACGTTGATGTTTCTCGCTCTCCCTCCCACTCTATCTGTACAAAAAATGGAAAAATGTCCTCGGGTGAGGATTAAAAAATAATAATAATAATAAAAAATAAAAAACAAGGGCAGAATCGTGCTTCTGCTCCATCTGCTGCTGCCACCCCGACCTAAGGCGGGCACGTCCTCCCCAGGAGACAGGAGGGCGGTTCCCTGCATTGTACCCCCCTGTGGGCAGCACTGAGTCTGGAGCACCTGTTCTCTAAGGACGTTGAGCACATGGACACGGGTTAAGGGGCAAACTCTGACACGTCAGGTCATGTCAGATGGAAGGGAAACAGGAGAGGACAAGGGAGAAGAACTGGAGAGGACCGTGTAGGTGTTGGTCATTAAGGCAGGGAACAAGCACTCGGCACCTCTGGTCACACGCTCATCGCTGGTGTCTGTGCCCACCTTCCAGCCCCAGCCATACTCCCTTTGTCCTCCACTGGTGGAGTGACAGACCTACGAGCTGTGCCTCTGCTGGGTGGCTCTGGCTCTCCACTGCACTTCCTCCAGGACCCAGGGCTACAGACACTCTCCCGACTTCCTGCCTCCCAGACCTTCTCATCCTGGTTCTGTAACGAAAGCCCCACTTCCCGTACAGGAGTGCTCATCCCAGCCAGCGCGGAGCCAATTTCCTCAGGTGAGGCGGCAGCCTCAACTACCTGTCTGGTATGTCCCCTGGTGGAAGCCCTCTGGGGTTTGCCTGGACAGAAGGGACTCCTTGGGTGTGGGACTTCCAGCTTCAGACCTGGAAAGTCCCAAGCACATCAGGGTAGCCGTCACCCTAAAGCAGTTCCCTCAGAATTGAAGTGTCTGGATCAGCAGAGGCCTGAGTTGCAGGACAGAAAGCAAGCATTTCACTAGAGAACTGTTCAGGACAACACTGCCATGTCCACTTCTGGATACCTGCACCTGGGACACTGCACCTGGGACCTGTACCTGGAACCTGCACCTGGGACCGTGCATCTGGGACCTGTACCTGGGACTCTGCACCTGGGACCCTGCACCAGGGACCCTGCACCTGGGATCTGTATCTGAGACTCTGCACCTGGACCCCTGCACCTGGGATCTGTACCTGGGACCCTGCACCTGGGACTTGCACCTGGAACCTGCACCTGGGATCTGTATCTGAGACTCTGCACCTGGACCCCTGCACCTGGGATCTGTACCTGGGACCCTGCACCTGGGACCTGTACCTGGAACCTGCACCTGGGACCTGTACCTGGAACCTGCACCTGGGATCTGTACCTGGAACCTGCACCTGGGACCCTGTACCTGGAACCTGCACCTGGGACCTGTACCTGGAACCTGCACCTGGGACCATG